GAACCACATAGGATTGCGATTGGTACTAGATGCTGTCACCTCACTAATTTCAGGTCGTGATTTTTTCTCAAAGTAATTAAAAATTGTTAAATTCTTGCGTTTAGACATCCTAAAGATCCAAGAACAGCAAAAATATATACATATATATTGGCACAGAAATATCCGCTAATCTACGATCTCAAAGTTTCGAGCTGGAATAAATAACTTCAACGAGCACAGTATCTCCAAAACAAAACAGATTTAGTGACGAACTCCAAAAGACAAGTGGCAGAGATAACTCTTAGTCTGACTAACTAACTCCATTGTACTCCGTTCCCCCTTTCATATAATTTTTTTTACCGCATCTACAAAACTCTCGAATTGTCTCAAAGACGACAGAACGTCTAGGATTCCAGACCTCGCGAATGCCAGCCAGTCTCGAAAACTATCGCGACTGGCAGGACAAAAAGGAACCAGCGATCGGGGCTCGTCCGTAACAGTATCACTTGAATTTGGTTTCAAAAGTACAACCCTATTATAGTAAATGTTTTTTCAGTATTCTGAGAAATACCGTGAGAAAAAAAAGTTGGCATAAAGCAAATAAAAATATATAGTTTTAAAAAATAATAGCCAGCATAATTCCTACTAAAATTTTCATTTCTGTCTGTATTATTTTGTAAATTCACTTTGTCTGAGCTCAAGGGGGGGGGGGTGTTTAAACCCCTAACCCCCCCCCTTGCGTACGCCCCTGGAATAGTAAAATATATCGTCTTAAGACTTTACTTCCCTACTGAACATATCTAAAAATTTTGTTTAGAATGAACAATCAGTCAATTTTTGATTTTGTCAGATAGCTAAGTTACCTGTTAATCGAGCTCAAAACACAAAATCTCAATATATGCCTCAAAGGGCCTTCCTCTTTGCTCTAAATATAAACAAAAACCGATTAGAAACGTGCAGAAAGTCTTCTTTTTCCCTCAAAACAGTGCTTGTTACATAATCGAATCAGTTGAACTCAGTAGCCCCCATCCCCCCCCCCAAAGCTCTTGGGCGCATTCTTGGGCAAATTCTAAATCCCCCCCCCCAAACTATTCGTTTTATTTAGTGTAAAAATTCCCCCCTCCCCAAGCTTTAAGTGGGCGCATGGTGCGCCCACCTCCCCCCCCTGGTGGGGGCCCCTGGTTGAACTTCTTTCCGGGAAGTATCTAAATTGTGATGGCATATATTTGGATCATTCTCAGGGAAGTTTCCGAGACCGTCGTCAATAGCTTATTGTGAAAATCTAGTGCTGCTTAAGTAAAAGGAACCATGTACAAGTGAACTTCTTTCTCGGAAGGTACCATGTTCAAGTGAACTTCTATCAGTGTTAATATTTGCCTCAATATGAGGCAAAGATTAATACTAAAAACGAATCAGTTCAGAAGCTCTGTCTCATTATTGTTTGCCTCATCCTGGAAAGGGTTAAAACCATGAACCAGACGTATCGCATTTGAGTTTCAATTTTTCCTGAAATTGTCTGTCAAATAAAGTAGCTTGTCATTATGACTGGATATTTTATTTATTTATTTAATTTTTGCATGTAAACGAGAATCTGATTGGCGAATTTTTCACAGGCGTTTAAAACGTTGCAAGCAGCGGGAATAGCCTTTTCTGCAATTGACTTTCTGTCGAAGGAAGTTAAATACTTGATTGGTGAAATGGATGGTGTTTTCAATAGAAATGTAAACAATAACAATCTCGAGCTTGGCACCTACTCTAGTTCCGGTTAAAAAGTTTGCAGCTGCTTACTACATGTAAGTNAATTTAGTAGGAACAACACAACCTGTGACGTAGGCTATATTATACCCAATTGTGATGGCATATATTTGGATCATCCTCAGGGAAGTTTCCAAGACCGTCGTCAATAGCTTATTGCGAAAATCTAGTGCTGCTTAAGTAAAAGGTACCATGTACAAGTGAACTTCTTTCTCGGAAGGTTCCACGTTCAAGTGAACTTCCTTCAGTGTTAATATTTGCCTCAATATGAGGCAAATATTAATACTAAAAACGAATCAGTTCAGAAGCTCTGTCTCATTCTTGTTTGCCTCATCCTGGAAAGGGTTAAAACCATGAACCACGTATCGCATTTGAGTTTCAATTTTTCCTAAAATTGTCTGTCAAATATGTTTTCCTAAAGAAAAAAGTAGCTTGTCATTGTGACTGGATATTTAATTTATTTATTTAATTTTTGCATGTAAACGAGAATCTGATTGGCGAGTTTTTCACAGGCGTTTAAAACATTGCAAGCAGCGGGAATAGCCTCTTCAGCAATTGACCCTCTGTCAAAGGAAGTTAAATACTTGATTGGTGAAATATATTCTCTAGTGAAAAATTCACCAATCAGGTCCTCCATTTCCCTTGGATGGGATCGAAAGTGGGTAAATCGCTTTCGCAAACCCGTGTATTAAAATAATAAGCCTTTTAAACGATTACAATTATTCGTTGAGTTTGTTTAATTGTTATCATACCTATATTCCCGCCAAATTCTTTTTATTTGCTTTCCCTTATTTATTGTTTAACATTAAACTTCTGCAAATTCGTTTTTATGTTTTAGTTTGCTTAAGTTCATTTTAAAATGCCGTCGAGGGACTACACTGAAGATAAAAGTAACTATTTTCAATTAACCTGTATTAAAATATGGTTTCTTTTTTTCTTTAATATTTATTTCCTTATATTTTCTTTGTACATATATTCTGTGTTTCATATGTGAAGTAAATTATATTATATCACGAGAGGTCTGTCTTGGTTTTTTTCAGACTTACCAATTTTGTGAAAATTTAGACGTAATTTATGAAAATAGAAAATTATATTAAAGGTTCAACACAAAAATATGGCGAAATTAGAAAATATTTTCAAAAGTTGTCACTGCAAATAAAAATCGTTTATGACTGGTAAATTTCGATATATATTTGCTCAAAAACAATTTTGCTATTGTAAAATTTTGGGTGTAAAATTGTATCCATATTTAAAAACTATGAAAATCATTTTCTATAGTTAAATTTCAACTTGAATGCAATAAAAACATACATTTGACAGTACTAGCACTAAAAGTTATCTTTATTATGTGAAAGGGAAAAGTTCTATTGCAAATCGAGATTCTTAATTAACCCCGGGTTTGTCTTTTTTATGGGGATACAACAACAAAATTTTAAGAAGCAGGGGGGGAGAATCTTAGAAAGTATTTTATAAAGTACTTTCCTAAAGTATAATTTGTGAAGGTACCGCTGAAAGGTAGTAAATTTGTCCTGGGCAGACCCCTTATCATAATATAATAATAATTAGTATTACATATATATGAAAATTCCTATCTAAACTTAACAAATTTGTTTGTTTTTTTAGCGAAAATACAGTCTTTTCTAGCAAGTTTCGCATCTTATGATGATAAAGGCAACAAAAGCCTGAAGTATGGGTTACAACTAGTGAGTAGAATTCTGTCTTCGTTTATTATCATTATTACTGTAATAATATTAACGTTTTAAAATTTGTGTATGTGGATTATGATATGAGCATTTCTTACGATTTCCTTACTTATTTAGTATTTCGTTTCATTTCTGCATAGTAGCTTTACATTGCATTCAATTCTAAATAACGGTTTTTTATTAATCATTCGCGTATCATTCTTTGTACATATATTTAGTCTCTAACTTCATTTTTAATGAAAAGTTTTTTTACTACTTTGAAATGCATTTTTAAAATTGAAAACAATAAGCCTATAAGGTTCATAACAAAGTATAACTTCTTTTATGTAATGATTTTGTTTGCGAGTATTTTGTTTGTTCCCACCAGCTACTGCCGCTTAAGAGATTTTAATCTTGCTAAATTTATTTAAAAAACTGTGTTGAGGTTTGACTAAGTATGGTTATGAGTTATACCCTTCTAAGATTCTTCTTTTTGCACTGCTTGCTTCTAAACTGCAATTATTATGGCGTAAATACTGATTTGGAAATCTTCTCTCAAATTTTTCTTATATTCGGTACAACATATTTTCTATTTAAAATTATCATTTATTTTAAAGCCCTGTGGCAAAACTATGGCGACATTGTCGTAGTTCTTGCAGAAAGATTTTTTCTTTGGGAAATAAAAAATTTTATTTTTCTTTTCTACAGAAATTTTCAAAAGATTTTATTTTTTCTTCAGAATTATATTCAAAGATGCCTTGCTCTTTTGCGCATTGGAGTGGAAAAAAATGCTTTTGATTTTTCTATTTTCATTTGAGAATAATGAAGTAAAAAAATAACAAATTTATCTTTAGAAATTTTCTTTCTATTTTTTTTTTGTGCTGTTATTACAATTGATTTCAACATAGCTTTTAAAATCTGATATTTTTAATGCGATATTATTTTTTAACACAACTGAATTCTGAAATGAAGACACACAGTTTAGTAACCCCTTTATGAAGAATCCAATTCGCCTGATTATGTCCTCGATCTTTTTTTTTTGGTAGTTACTACTGCTACAGATTTTGCAATTTTTATTATTTTTTTAATGTGATGATAAATTACAAAATGTTGAAAAAGAAATAGTGTGTTAATACTTAATCCCGTACAAAATGCGAGAATATCACCCACAATATTAGAGTAAAAAAAATATTACCTACATATTCAATTAAAAAAAGATTTTATTAATCCAATTTATTTTTTTTTTCTTTGACATTGTCACTTCTGTTACATTAAGTTAGTAACATATATATTTGTTATTTTTATAAGTAACTTACGGAAAGATATTAGTATTAGAGAGGTATGTCACAGAAAACCTGAACAAATTCTGCCACTAGGTTTTGAAGTTAGGGTGCTTTAATGTTAAATTTTTGAGGGGCACAAAATGTACACCTACCATATAATAGTTCTATCACAATTTGACATTTGAGATAAGAATCTTTCCCAATAGCTGTAGTTTTATAGGTTCATTCATTTTTTGTCTTATAATTTCTAATTCCAACATTTTCTTAAATTAGGTATCACATATGCAATTTTAAATTACCATTTATTTTGCAGTTATCAGTATTTTTAAAGTTTAATATTTGAGAGGCAAACAAAATATACTTACTATTTTTTCTATCAAAATTTGACGTATGAAAATAAAGCTTCTTCCATCTACACTTGCCAAAACTTATAGCTTGTTTATGTTTTATCTAAATTAAAATCCACAACATGTATATATGTCATAGCATTTTTACATCTTACATCACATATTGGCAATGAAACAGCTATCTTCACTTTCCTAAAACATTAAACAAAGCTAAGAACATTAACATACCAGTATTTTCTTGTGCCCTTCAATAATTCTATTAAAGCAAAGCCTTTTGTTTACTTTCTTTTATTCATTCACAATCTTGCCATGCCATGTTCTCCATCTATCTCTTTGATGTCATCTTCTCTTCTTTAAAAAAAAAAAAGATAACAAACTACGCATGCTCCTGCAAAACCAGTTTTTCCTCATTCTTAATAAGTTTTAAAAAAACAAACTTGTAAAATTTTTTAGAAAACAAAGCTTTTTCTCTGATTTTCGTTGTCATTTTACCGCACAACGCCAAAAAAATAATAATAAACTGTTTCCTTCTTGAGGTTACTATTCATAGGCTTCAGGTATTTCAACCAAATGTTTAACCTTGAAGGAAGACTGAATTGTTGTAACTGCTGTCTAATCCAAGTAGAAGTAAAATCAAATTTTCTTCAATCAGTTGTCTGAACTGACAAACGTAAGTTTACTCAAGATGGTCTGATATCGTGTCACAGTGAACACTACTGGAGTGGTTTAAACCCTTTCTTATATCAATGACTTACTTTAATAGATGTAATACTTTTTTATTGCATTATACTATGTTTTTTATTATTTTAATTTAATATCAACTTTTTTCTGAATTATCCTGTATATGTTTTCCTATAGACGCAGCTTGCTCATCGTGATCAGGTTGTGATTACTGTTGATCTTGATGATGTTGAAGAGATGTTTCTTGATTTAGCAGATGCTATTTTAAATAATGGCCGACGTTACACTGCATTATTTGCTGATGTTATCCAAGAAATGCTTCCTAATTACAAGATTAGGGAGGTTAGTTATCTTGCACTAAATACTGTAAAGTGATTTATCCTTTTGTTACTTAAATGTTTTACCAATAAATGGCCAAGGTTTTTTTAAATTTTTTTTATTTATGTATGTGATGTTTTCAGAACTGTTATGAAGTCAGCTTATTAAGTAAATAATTAGAAATTTAAAAAAAAAACTTACTAATTAATAGTTACTTTAGTAAATAGAAAAAAATATAGTTGACGAAACATATAGGTGGTAGATCATTGAAGATAAAATGACTAAATACTAATGTTTATAATTAATATTTGCTTTGATAAATTTGAAAAATAAGTATTGTATAATTGGGATTCTGTAGAGGAAATAATTTCTATCTTAAAGGGTTTTGTGTGACAAAAAGTTTGGAAGCCATTGAGCTAGATACTATTAATACTTAAATCAATAATCTCAAGGAACTAAAGCTGTAAGATATTCCCTGATTAAATTTCATTTGCATATTTTTGATCAAGTAATACTATTAAATTAATGCTTATCTGTTGCTCATTTATCTTTTAATTACCACTTAACAGTGTTCTAATTAGCTTTCAACTTACCCTGCGTTTCTTTAATTCTATATTGCACGCCCGATTAACAACGATGTCGTTATCATTCCATCTCGAGATTTTTCAAATTTCGATGTACTTGATATCACACGCAATTTACGTGTGTAAGTTATCACTTTTATTCGTGGCAATCACAATTATTTCGTCGAAGCTTTTCGATTGTGTTTCAGCTAGATATTTCCACTTAGTTTTTCAAGCTCCAATGTTTTTAATATGATAGTGTTTTGAATTTGTGCTGTCTTTTTTTTCTGCATTCTATTGTTCCAAATTATCTCTAGTTCATTTCAATGAGGATATCGGATTTAAGTTATCTCTTGTGGTGCACTTGATGATCAAAATTCCGTTTTCTGAACTTTTTTCAGCAATTATTGATCTTTCCCTTTTTTATACCTTTTCTACATCTTCTTTCAAATTCTGATAATTTTTTTATTATTATACTCACAAACTATTAACTTGAGTAATCACAGTATTCCATTATGAATCCGAGTCGTTTTCTTATCTTCTTTCCTGCAATTGTTACACTGAAATTTACAGCTAAAACTTAAGTTATTAATGTCTTTAAAAATCTAGTTTCTTACATAAATATTTTTATTAATTTTGTTAGAAATTAAATTAAGGTTTTTAACATTATTGCAATTGTTAAAAAAAAGTTTTTAAAAAATCAGAAAAGGAAATATTTATTTTCAATTCATGTGCTGTTAAAATCTTTAAATAAATCAAATTATGTCAAAATGTACAAAAATTTTAGTTTGGAATTCTCATGTACCATAAACCTTGATTTTTTTTTGTTGAAGGAAAAAAATTTTGTTCATTCTCCTCCCAGCCCTCTTCAAATTTTTGAAATGGAATCATAATCTGAACCTTTGCATCTAGGCTTTTAGATCTTGTTTGTGCAAATGTTTGGAATTGTTAATGAACTCTGTTATTGTTAATTTATTATATTTATTATTATTAATAATAATTTATGAAATTATTTATTCATTTATGATAAAGGTCTTGTTTTATTGAACTGTGAAGTATAATAAATTCTGTAAATCAGAAAAGTATTTATTTTCTAAACTCTAACAAATGTGGATAAATCTAATGTTCCCATTGTAAAACTAAATTATTGCATTTTTGCTCTATTTAGTCTTAAATTAAGCTTACTTGGTGTAATTTTAATGACATTTTCTCCTAGTTACATGATAATTTTATTTCTTAATTTTGTAGGTTCCTGCTAAGGATGTATTGGATGTTTATATAAAACAGAGGTTAAAGCTTGAGAGTAGATTTCATGAAGAAGGAGAATATCGTGACCCTAAGAATAGATATCCCCCTGAACTCTTGAGACGATTGTGAGCATAATCAATAATATTTCAAATTGTATATAGTATGTAGTACTAAGGAAAAGGGCAAAATATGATAAATGTCTATTTTTATTCCATTATGAAATGAGTGTTTATTATTATGAATGTCTGTTATGAAAACCATTATGTTCTGTTAAAATTTAAGTTTTCAGCCTTACAAATTTTTATGGCAATTTGTTACTTTATTAAGAACAAGCATAATAAATTAATGGAGTAACTTCATAAGTATGTAGTAAAAGTTTTATTAAACTGATATTTTTATTGTTGTAAATTATGCAGAAATTTAAGAAATTGTAAGTTTAATTGTTAAGGTTTAAAGTTACAAAACAAAATTATAAGCAAGATATAAACAAAAACTTTTATGACAGTCATTTTTTTAATTGCCATCTGAACAATTAATTTTGGACATCATTATTTTTAAAAAAAAAAAATTTTAAATAAACTCTTGATGATAATGCTGCTGATCTGTGTATTAAATTGTTTAGACTTAAAAGCATTTAAATTATCAATGTCTAAATTATAAGATTATTATTTCAGTGAGGTTTGTTTCAAGAACAAAAGCGCCATCGAAAATCTTTCTGTGCGAGATGTTAAGGCTGAACATATTGGAAAACTTATAACTGTTAGAGGAATTGTTACTAGATGCACTGAAGTTAAACCAATGATCGTTGTATCCACTTACACTTGTGATCAGTGCGGTTCTGAAACAATCAAAGCGGTAAATATGATTTTGTTTTTTCAATGCAATAATGATAACTCATATTTAATTTTAAGTAGTAGTTTTTTTTTTTTTTTAATAAGAATTTATACTTGTTAAATTGTGGTAGAAATGGGCTAGCACTTAAGAGTTTTATGTTTTGTATTCATATGTATGTGTTTTCATATATGCTGTGTGTGTATGTATATACACACAATACAAGGTCCCATATCTGGATGTTGGTTTACAGGAAGGGTCTCTTTTTCAGACATTTTTTAACAGAATCTGAAAAAACATAACTCTTTTCCTTTTAATTTTCTATTTTATTTTGCCACCTGCTAAAAAAAGTATGCAGAAATTGGGTTCCCTGTTTTTCCGCTTCTTTATGATTTTTACCAGACATCCAATTTTTGTTCGATTTTGATAAAGTTTCCGCTGGGATGTGGGACAAAAGTTAAATATTATGGAAGCAAATTACGGCATTTCACTGCAACGCAAAAAAGAATTGCACATTTTTCTCACGTCTCCCATAAAAGGGTCATTACTGCCAAGAATGGCACACTCAATTNCACCAAAAAAAAAAAATATTAGGAAATAATCTTAAAAAGAAGAAAAAACGATGAAGTAATACAGTAATGATTATTTCTAAAATGATGGTACGGTAAACATCTTTCAAAAAAGAAAGAAAAATCCTAAAATCTTATGAGGAAAAATTTTTTTTTTTAAAAAATGGCGGGAAAATTTATTGAATTTCGTTCCGGTATTTTGGTTTTCCGGTTTTCTGATTTCCGGATAATGGGTTCTGTACTGTAATAAAAATCTAAATGTATTTTGCTTTTTGTCATTTTGTTAAAAATTAATTTCCTTTTTTTTGTTTGTTCGGAGTTAAAAAAGGCAAAATTACTCTTGATTGATGATAATGCTGCTGATCTGTGTATTAAATTGTTTAGACTTAATAGCATTTAAATGATCAATGACTAAATTGTACGATTATTATTTCAGTGAGGTTTGTTTCAAGAACAAAAGCGCCATTGAAAATCTTTCTGTGCGAGATGTAAAGGCTGAACATATTGGAAAACTTATAACTGTTAGAGGAATTGTTACTAGATGCACTGAAGTTAAACCAATGATAGTTGTATCCACTTACACTTGTGATCAGTGCGGTTCTGAAACAATCAAAGCGGTAAATATGATTATTTTGTTTTTCCAATGATATAATGTTAACTCATATTTAATTTTAAGTAGTAGTTTTTTTTTCTTTCTTTAAATACAAATTTATACTTGTTAAATTGTGGTAGAAATAGGCTAGCACTTAAGAGTTTTATGTTTTATATTCATATGTATGTGTTTTCATATGCTGTGTATGTATGTATGTATATACACACCATACAAGGTCCCATATCTGGACGTTGGTTTACGGGAAGGGTCTCTTTTTCATACATTTTTTAACAGAATCTAAATAAACACAACTCTTTTCCTTCTTTTAATTTTTTTATTTTATTTTGCCACCTGGGTTCCCAGTTTTTCCGCTTCTTTATGGCTTTTACCAGGCTTCCAATTTTTGTTCGATTTTGTTAAATTTTGCACTGGGATGTGGGGAAAAAATTAAATATTACGGAAGCAAATTACGGCATTTCACTGCAACGTGAAAAAGAATTGCGCATTTTTCTTATGTCTCCCATAAGAGGGTCATTACCGCCAGGAATGGCACACTCAATTTCAGAGTGCAAAAAATTTTAAATTTTGGAAAAATTGCAGATTTTGGATAAAGTTGCAACTAAAGCATGTCATCAAGTGATTATTCAAAAGCATTATTCAGAATTCACACATTGGAATAATATTACGTTGAAAATGAAATTAAAATTTTAATAACTAATTGGAAATTCCAAACAGTTGAAAATACGTTCAACAAAGCAACAGAGACGATAAAATCATCAGAAATCAAAATGCTTTACAAATGAACGATCAAATCCTGTGTGCAGTTGTGAAAATCTATAGAAGTAACTTATGAAAATGCGATTGTAAATCCATGTGTGGTTGCAGGTAAATTGTCAATACTTGAGTACAAATTGCTCGAGTCAATATATGTCTAACGGAAATAATATTGTATTAAAACATTGATATTTTATAAAGCAAGTGAAAATCTGTTTGAATAATTACCAAAACAAAAAGATCTTCAAAACCACGCGCATTCACTGTGGAATTTGTTAGACTATGAATTTCAATGAACAAGGTTCGAGTAAGAGTCATAGATCACGAGTTCGAAAAACCTCTGAAGGAGGGAGTTCGAACATTTAAAAATAGTTTAAAGACAGAATTTGCATAGTATTAATTTTGAGTGTGTAAGTACCCTCATTATGCAACTGTTATTATGTATATATATATAACAAATCAATATTGGATTTGGAGTTTTGTTTCGTTTGATTTTCATGACTGTATATATTGAATTCGTTACCTCATGTTATGTAGAGGATTGTTTCTCCTTTATGATGTTTAAGTTAAGTTATGATTTTTCTTGCTTAATAAAATTTATGATTAGTTAAAAGATGACTTTTTCATTATGCTTGCTGGGCATTTTCCACAACGCACTAAACTCTGCCAGCAAGGTTATGGGCCATGCCTGCCCAGCTTAGTTAAGCTTTTGTCGTCTTTAGAAGCAAGTTTATTATAACGCTACTGGGGCCGTTTAGATAGATTGGAGATGGCCGAAAATGACAGCAGCTCCATATTGGGATTTACAAAGCTAAACAGTTTCAATTACAGTAGTTGGAAAATAAATATGAAAGTATTACTCATCGATAAAGGCTCTTGGGAATTTGTTGGTGGTACAGAGAAGCCATTACCAACTGATGCAACAGACAGAGACTTACGCTCTTATGAAATGCGAAAAGCTAGAAGTTACTCTACTATATTCCAAGGAATTGATGAGCAGTTTCAACCGCTGATAGCCGACACAGAGGACGGAAAGACAGCGTGGACTATTTTGAAGGAAAACTTTGAACCTACCTCCCGAGCACGGTTAGCCGGACTTATTGATGAATTCTTTGAATTGAAGTTTGATCCAGAGAAGGAGACTATTGGCATTTTCTGCAAGTTAGTAAATGAAAAAAGGAAACAGATTCATGACGCAGGTTTTGAAATGCCAGAAAAGCTCACATGTTTCCAATTAATTAGAAGATTGCCAGCAGATTATGACAACTTAGTTCAAATGCTTTATCGACTAGAAGATAAAGATTTTTCGATTTCTAATGTTGAAAAGGAGCTCCTAATCGAATCTGGAAGGATACAACAAAAGCAGAAAGACAGAGGAGAGGACATAGTCGCCGATGCTTATACTACTTCATCTACTAGAAAGCAAGCCTATCGGAAGTTGAATGGAAATAAAAGCAGTGGTCGCGTCCTGGGCAATGATACAACAACAACAATTATGTGTTCCTACTGCAATAAGAAAGGACATAGTGCGGAAAGATGTTTCCTGAAGAAGAAAACCACGAAACGGAATTCTAAAACTCAAGATTCCAAGGAAACTTTTTACAGTGATTTGACTACGATAAGAGATGCTGAAATTCGCCAAAGGAAAGACAAGCAGTTTGTTGAATTCCTGATTGACACTGCCAGCACAGCTCACTTCTGTACACAAAGAGACTACTTTAGTAACTTCAAGACTTTGAATCCTAGTCAAGTACTTGTTGGAGATAAAAATAGTAAGTCTGAT